AGTACTTGGTACCAACCCCTTTCGAGTGTTTTGATTAGTTTCCAGTTCATTTTCGGCTTGGGTGACGCGCTGTCGCTAATGGCTAGTGGCAAATAGCTGCAGTCCTCGGTGTTTGCCAGCCATTTTGTTTCCACTAGTTACCAGGGAAGCCCGTGAGTTCAACACATGCGTATTTTGCGTTTTATCGTCACGTGGGCCTTTTCAACCAATGAAAAGGTGTGAAAATTGTCTGTTTCCATGCGGGCGCTTTCATGTCAAAGAAGACGAGCTGTAAAGCGTGCGTTTTGCAAGACGACGCTTCTTTTTACTTCAATTTAAAGTCTTTTTCCTGTCAGGCTCAACAAGAAGTATTCCTAACGTTGGTAAGTGATGTTTTTCTCAATTTAAGTTTCGATTTGCCTGTGTTTCCTCCCCTTTTTGCGTATCTGAACAAGTTGGATCGGTCACCTTTGATCACGCTTTGATACTCGTTCGTTTTAATTCTAAAACGTCAGGTTGTTTTTGTGTTCATTTGCCTTAAAATCTCCACTTTCTGTTCGCAGATACTTATTCGTTGCTGTCAAAAGCAAACTGTATGGCACTGAAGAGCACGACATCAGCCAAAAGTCTACACGATAAGCCATTAATCAAACTTTAACTTGGAGTCTCGATTCGGAAGCTGCTCCATGAAAATACTGCATTTGTGCTGTATTAGTGTTGGTGGTATTATATTGCTATAGTTTTTCAATTTTTCGTTTCAAATCCTATTTCTTACCAATGTAAAAGGTATTCTTATTCATATGTTGAATATGAATATGGTGATTTTTACGAGCGTGTTTTAAACACCACATTTGCTTAAGCAGATCGAAACCTACATACATTAAAGACTATGTCAATTCTATGTAATTTCTGTTTGAAGTCTAATTAAAGGCTGTGTATGTGATACGTTTTACCTACTCAAATATTATTAAAATCCTATTTCAAACCCATGCAAAGACTATTTGTTCTGTGTTTTCCCTATTTTAATGCTATGCAAAGTATATGTCACCTTTAAAAAAGGCTATGCTTATCATATGTTTTTACTATTTCTAGGCTATCTAAATTCTAAGGAAACCCTATTCAAAAGCTATTTAATCAACTGTTCCCTATTCCATTTTACCATGTAAACTCTGTTTCAGTCCTATGTGAAGGCTATTTATTTTCTATGATTTTTGTATAAGGTTGACTATGAAGTCTAAAATCTCTTTCCAAAAGCTAAGTAAATTATATATATAGGCTATGTGGAAACTATGTCATTACTTCCTTTTTTCCTACCTTTAAAAACTGCATAGCTTTTAAGTAGGTTCCGTTTGACTTGTGAAAACATAGCATTTTCGATACAAAAAAAAAAATCCTGGCATAGAAACAACATAGGACCTGGTTAAAGCAATGTATGACTGATTGACATAGGTTTTACATAGCTTTGTGACATAGCATCTGCATAGATTCTACATAGTGTCTGATTCTACAAGGGAATATTTTCCATCGATAAATTTAGTAGTTTGACAACAGCTAAGGGGCAGGAGCTACAATGTCCTCTGTTACTGGCTTACAAAATTGTCCTATCTCACGGTAGAGCTAAAGTATTTGTTCTTCAGACAGTTCGCTTGAATTTATAACTGGAGGAGTAGCTGTAGAGGGTGGAAGGACGGCTTGAGTTTTCAATAACATGAAAGAATGTTCAGGGCTGTTCACAAATTCTTTATAATAAACCAGGACCAAACTTTGTGTGTCCTGCTATTAGAAAAGAGCATGTAATTGGGCGGTGAAGTTTCAGCAAAATTCTGTATGTCAGGTACCAAAGGAAAAAACTGTTTTCGTTTTGGCTGGTGCAATTGTCCGCATAAAGATGCGCATGATGTTCTCCCAGTCCATGGTTATTCAATCATTGCTTGGTACATGTATCTGTTGTGCAAAGTCAAATGAGTAATGTATTGATGCATTTAAAGAACAGGCCCCTCGGGTTTCACAGATCAGCAGAGTATTAGTGTCAATTGTTTGAAGAAATCTCTCGCATTCCTTACCAGGGTTCCTATAACATTCTCTCTTGCTTTGTGCAATGTCCAAATGTTCCTGGTGAGCCTTTACACAATCTGATTTTTCTTCATCTCAGAGGTTAGCAGCTCACTGCAGTTTCGTCGTGTTTTGCTGACACGTTAAACAAAGATCCATCATGGGTTTAGAGATGACCACGTCAGGATAAAATTCGTCCCACAGCTGTAAGAACTTCTTGTAACTTAATTACGGCTCTCTCGTTTAAAACACCACAAGTTTTCTCGTGCTCCCTCCAAACACTCCTCTTTGTTTCCAACGAAGACAAGAGTCTAATTTCTTCACTTTTAAATCCCGGGAACCTTCCAGGAAGCACGATCGCATTTTCTTCAACATAATTGTCAATAAATGCATGAGCAGCCTCAAGCGATTTTTTGGAAGTTGCGTTTTTAGGCACTCGGTTGGTGTTTCCATGAGTTCTTGGATAAATCCTGTGTTCCTGATAGTGTTCTCTTAGTCTTTCGAAATCTGGAATAGCCAATTCCGTAAAGATGTAAGGACATCTCCTTACAGATTGGAATTGTTTGATAAGTGAAGCTGCATCAAGGACTTCTATTCCTTTTCCAGTTTTTGTGAAGACGTGAATATTGGAGAGGACGACAAGGTCAAGTTCGCTGCTCGAAAGCTCAAAGCAGTTATATAAGTTGTAGAGAACAGTCTCCGTTGAAAACTGTCCTGAACAAGGGTGACGTTTTAAATCATTGCTGCAAGTTTCTCGAATAAATTTCTTATCCTTTTGCACAATCTCGTTGGAGTCACTGATATAAGTAGTATAGGAGGGACCGAATTATCCTTATTTTTGCGCAGGGATCTCATTAGCGTGCGCAGGAATAAATTAACGTCGCTGACGTCATAGGGTATTGTGTTGATCTCATGAATAAAATGCGGAGGATTCTCATTAGCGTACGGAGGAATACATTAACGTCGCTGACGTCATAGGCTATTGTATTGATCTCATGAATAAAATGCGGGGGATTCTCATTAAGGTGGGGAGGAATACATTAACGCCGATGACGTCATAGGCTATTGTCCTCATCTCATGAATAAAATGTGGTGGATTTAATTAAGTATACTGGTTTGACCGGTTTGTCAGGTTCTATTTTTAGCCTTGTTGATATAACTGGTTTATTTTTGTTTTATGACATAACCTATTGTCTTGAACTCATGAATAAAATGCGGTGGAATAAATTAGCGTCTATGTCGTAATACTCTATTGTCTTTATTCATAGTGCGGTGATTGTAGAATCTATTCTATCTTCCAAATAAAAGCGCGCTCTCCGTTCAGAATATTACTCTTGCAATCGCTTTGCTAAGGAAACAAGCTCGCTTGCCTAACTAAAAATTCGGTTATAAACAAAACTCAGACGCAAAAAATGGAGCTCAAACTCTTTATTTCAATCTATTGCAAACAGTGCTCTCTCTATAAAATTACTTTATCTTGATGTCTTGTTACACGCTCTGTTAACCAGTAGTAATTTGCATCTGACTCATGCCTCTTTTGTGCTCTCGCAAATTAAACAATCATGCTTAAGGCCTCTAACAAAAAGATAAGGTACCGTTTCATACACAATTGTTAGGTCTATTGAAAAATAAAATATTCCACTGCAAAGTGCATCGACAACCGTTTAATTAATTTGTTATTGGTCTATCGAGCATTCGTTTGGTTCTTTTCTAGGAAAGATCTTACGCTGGGATCGTCCTTGTGTAAATAAATCCATTTCGATTTTCCATTGCAATAGTGTCTTATTTTCACAGGCCAGTAATTTCCATACGAGTACGATGGAAGATACGGATCATAAAGATGTCTGGCAATGCGGTACATTTCCGTGATCCCAAAGTCTTTTGGTAGGGCTTGGCATCGGGGCGCTCCTTGCATATAATTTTGTACAACGGGATAGGCTCCTTCAGACCAGACTGCATCAAAAGGAAATCGCGTGACCTTTTTACAATTGGCGGGGAAGATTTGACTACAGGAGGCGATTTTACTGCTGATCTAGCTTCGCAGGCAATGTTTTCCTCGTAACTGGTCGTTTTGACGGTTTCGACCGATTTTGCGGAGCTGTTAATAGTCGGATATCGACGACAAGAGCCGAAAATGTCACTCAATACTTACTTATTTGCCGCCGTGTCCGGTTTATTATCTACAAAGATGTAACCGTAAGGCCTCTCTGTTTCATGATAATAAGCTGTCATGAATTGTTGGCGATTCTTATCAAACATACGCTCAGCAACAATTCCGATTTGTTTCTGATCGCTAGGACTTCGGAAAAGAGCCATGTACTGTGCATTCCGACTGATATCGGTGTTAAATTTTCCCTTGGGGAACATATTCTGAAGGAGCAGTATGACGCTGGCATTTCTATGGCGACCTTGGGTAAACAACCGAGAAACGATGGGGCTTTCGATCGCTTCTGCCATTACATCATCAAAGATGATAACGTTGTTGTATTTTGGGTCAATTTCTCTTCTTGAAATGTGGGAAGGCCACGAAAAAATTTAATGTCCTTTCCAATCGCTGATTTCAAAGCTTCGTATCTATTTTGCCACTGACTGTAATACCATAAAATGCGACGGGGCTTGTTTGTTTCGTAGACAATACGATCTCTCGATAGAATCTGTTCTACGAAAACTGTTTTCCCTGATTGACTTGGTCCAACCACAAGGAGTGAGAACTTATGGCGAAACATAAAATCTGGATAAGGCTCGGTTACCAAGGAAACATCATGGGAAAGCTTTACCTTCTTCGCAGTAGAAGAAGTTTTCGGCGTTTCGTTTACTGGTCTTCTTCTTTTTCTTGGTTCACATATTTTTCTCGTGGAACTAGATGAACAACGAGGTAAGTCGACGCTTGTAGAAATATATTCTCTTTTTGATTCCCAAGAAACCTTAGCCTCTTTTAAGACTCGTGTTCGTCTTAGCCCGGTTAAGTCATGGACAATTTCAAGATGAGAACTCAAGTTGGACACACCAGTACCGTTGTGCTTTGCAGCCGTGCCTCCATCGATAGCTATAAAAGAAGTAAGCCGCTGTTTCTGATTCAGTCAGTTCTTAAACCTCGTGCAGTTCGGATCACAATGTTCAGCAATTATAATCATTTCGTTCAAAAAGGATATGGACATTTTGAAGATGATGACGACGATATTGAAAGCTCACAAGAAAGCGAACAATCATCTCAAAGTTCTCAATCTAGCGAAGAAATGGACTCTTCCGGAGAGGAAGAGGAGGAGAATGTAGATCCTTGGTCACGCATTCAAAATGAAGTTTGTAATCGCCACGAAGCCCAGCTCGAAGCTCTGATCAACGCGTATGAACAAAACGGAGACTCGCCTGAAGTGGCCCGCATTAAAGCTGAAAATGCTTTGCTTCCAGTATACAGAAAGGAATTGATAAAAGTGTTCTTAGAGTTTTTACAGTGGATGCATGCAATGAAGAAAGATCCGACATTCCGAAAAGTGATGGAAACCCGCCAAGATCTCAAAGACACAGAAGGATATGACTGGCTGGAATCGACAGAACTTGCCATCGATAAGCGGAAATTCTTACTCAATCGATTGTTTGTCAAACAAACTGTTCCCGAAGACTAAGCCGGAACTCTGTCTATTCATCTATTGTTGTAACACTTTGATGGTTTTGTTATCAATAAATGTATTTTTTAACTGAAACAAAGGTGTAGTCTGGTTGTAGCACGCGCGTATTAATCCCACCATTGTTTATATATAATTGAGTTGATTCCCGTGGATAATTTATGCGACAAGCGTTCATGTTGGCTCAGTGTATATTAAATTAGTTTGCGATGAATAATAAAATACAGTTCGCTTGCGTTCGTTTTGTTTCGTATGATACAGGTCTAAAAGGAAAAAGGCCAACCTGTTAATGGTTAACGCTCGATACCACAGTCTAGAAACGTTTGAAGGTTGAATTATATTGACAAAACAGAATCAATGGTTTTGTAGAATAAAAATATTTATCTTTGGTCACAGTGAATAGTTTTAAGTCGAGTATTGTTTTCGGACCGTTGACTAGTATGTTTGGAAGCTATCCGCTCAAAAATATTATTTACTGGAGTTTGTGACAATAACAAAATGCTGAACGGAGAGCGCGCTTTTATTTGGAAGATAGAATAGATTCTACAATCACCGCACTACGAATAAAGACAATAGAGTATTACGACATAGACGCTAATTTATTCCACCGCATTTTATTCATGAGTTCAAGACAATAGGTTATGTCATAAAACAAAAATAAACCAGTTATATCAACAAGGCTAAAAATAGAACCTGACAAACCGGTCAAACCAGTATACTTAATTAAATCCACCACATTTTATTCATGAGATGAGGACAATAGCCTATGACGTCATCGGCGTTAATGTATTCCTCCCCACCTTAATGAGAATCCCCCGCATTTTATTCATGAGATCAATACAATAGCCTATGACGTCAGCGACGTTAATGTATTCCTCCACACGCTAATGAGAATCCTCCGCATTTTATTCATGAGATCAACACAATAGCCTATGACGTCAGCGACGTTAATTTATTCCTGCGCACGCTAATGAGATTCCTGCGCAAAAATAAGGATAATTCGGTCCCTCCTATACTACTGATATAGAGCTAAGCTATTTTTACGTACCTTTGGATTTGTGCCTCGTAAGTAAAGCCGGGACTATCCGGTTTTTCTCTTGCTACGTCTTGTTGCAGGATGACAATTGATTGCTGTCACAATCGTTGCTACGACAAAAAGATACAGTACTGCAGGCACAAGGATAGTTCTTACCTGTCAGTAGGAAATTGTTGTCTGAAAATATAGAATGTTTGTTAGTGTTCAGATCGTCATTGTATCCTTTTACATTCACGTGGAACGGATAGGAAAATGTCGAGGATGAGAGGCTAAATCGTTCGAAGGGATGCTGCAACCTTTGGAATGGACATGTTCAGTTTGCGAACAGATACAAAAAACCTTCGAATGGATGTCTTAACCATTCACACGGATGTTGGAATCCTTTGAACGGATACCAAATTTTTTGAATGGACAGGCAAAGCGTTCAAACAGATGCTAATTTTTTTCAATGGATAGCCGAACCGTTCGAACGGATGCTAATTTTTTTGGAATGGATAGGCAAACCATTCGGACAAATGCTAATTTTTTCAAACGGTTTTATAAAAGTGTGCGAAAGAACAACGAATGGATAACAAACGCTTCCCCTCTTGAAACGGATAACCGTAAGCGTCCATTTTGCCTTTCACTGTCACAAATGCATTAGGATAAAGCCCTTTAGATTGAATGAGAATTCAGCATGGACGGTTATTCCTAATGAAGCCACTTCACACTTGGGAGGTTTTTCGTTCCTCTCTAAGTGCAACTGCAGCAGCAAAGATATCAACATTAAGGAGTTACCACTCTTCTACATAAGAACACTGCAATACTGGTTTGAGTTTAATACTAAGCCATGTACTAGAAACACGATCATATGGAACAACAAAGATATTAAAATTGATAATATTACGATCTTCTTCCGAACAAGGCTTATTAGAGGAGTTTCCACTATAGAAAACCTTCTTGATCCTAATCTTGATCTTGATTTCCTTACTTATGACGAATTTGAAACCCGTTACAAGATAAAAACACACTTTTTGACTTATTACAGAGTAATAAACGTTATGCCAAATGAATATAAAAAATCTATTAAACAAATAAATGCACAACAACAGCAACCTACACAGCAACGTCAGAGCTTGAAAGCACTAACAACCAAGGCTATACCCGAGAGTTTTTTTAATCACATATTTGAGGAACCTAGACCCACAAAATGCCGTATTGACAATGGGTTACCACAGGACCACATACATGGCTACTTTAACTTTGCTTTTTTTTGCACCAGAGAAACAAAGCTAATAATGTTCCAATACAAGATTTTAAATGACATAGGTTTTACTGAGTAAATATTGTTCAGTGCTAACCTCGCCAACAGTGATCTCTGCTATCTATGCTTGGGAACAAAACAAGATCTGAAGCACATGCTAATCTCGTGTCAGTTCGTCTCAGAGTTCTGGGAAGCTTTAGTGGACTGGTACAAGTCTCACGTATCAATAGGGCTAGAACTATCAACCATTAAAATCTTGTATGGTGTTATTGGTGACAATCACCTCAATAAGTTAAGTAATCATCTCTTACTACCGGCGAAATATTATGTACTGCTGCAGTATCAGAGAAGAGCCTTTGTTATGAAGTGATGATCTAACTATAGTGGTAACCAAAGCCGAGATAGAAAAACAAAATTATTATTATAAGAAATGGAAGCCTTTAATTGAGAAGTTTGTTTGCTAACAATATTAATTCAACTAGTAAGGCTATACTCAACATTACACTTGCATTTTATTGTACTTTTGTAGCAAGACTGTAATGCAATGTACTGTAATTCATTGTAAAGTATCGTTATTTATTTTTTCTTTATTGTTATTATTTTTTAGTTTAGCTAAAGGTAACTTTTGTTGGATAAGTATTGTTAGATGAATCAAACTGAAAAATAAGACCTTCACAACAGCTTGACAAGAAGACAACCCTTGGGTATAAGATTTTTGGATCCAGCATATGAACAAGACCGCCTTACTACTCTCGAATACGGCAATGACATGTCTATTAAGGAAATGCATAAAATCGATGGGACTATGCTTATCGACTGCATCAAGTCACCTCCAAAGAAGGAGTCAGATTTCAGAAATGCAATTGACAAAGTAATGAACACAAAAATTAAACAGTACAGTAAATTGTTTAAAATGCTCATCCTCCTTTTCAGTGTATTTGGAGATCAATGTAAAGACCTGCAATTTCTTTAACTAATAAATTTTTTGGAAAACCATCTTCCTTTAGTTCTGACAATTTATGCTGTTGTCTTTCGTTCCGACAACTTCCAACTGTACATTTTTGCCCTAAAGAGAATCTGACTCATGTTTCTTTGCTTTGGCCGCCACCACTCCAAGAAGTCACTACTGCTTTTTCTTTCTAGCTTTCTCTATTGGGAAAAATCTCGCACCCCTTCCTTTTAACACTATAGAGTTCTATTATTTCCTTTACCAATTATCCTGTTGAGTGCTTCCATTTCATCATTAGTGACCAGACAGCTCAGCCAAAGAAATAACGAAAACCTGCAGTTTAACAAGACAATTAAACCTTTCCTCTTAAGAACTTTATTTTTCCTGCAATCAGCTCAAAGTAGCACAAGAGATAAAATCTATTTCTTTGATATTATCTTCGAGACAAATAGTACCTTATCCAAACAGTCCGCATCTGGAGAACAACAAGGGTGGACCCTTCCTTTTTGGTTTGGTAGCAAACCCAAGACAGATAAAGTGTGGCTGTGCGCCTTTCACCTGTCAATGAAAAAAGAAAACCGGTCCAATCCTTGAAGAGAATGTGACCTCCACAGCAGTGAAACACAAGGAGATAAGTGGCGTGTATTTGGTTTTTGTTCGAGTAAAGTTCCTAATCATACCACAAGTAACTCTGCTTTGGGAGTTGTCACTTTTAGGTTCTTATCGCATTGCCCTTAAAATGGAAAAAGGCCCAATTCTGTCTTTCTTGATCATTTTGTGCATGTGCATGTGATAGACCCTTTGCACAACTATGTCACATGACCTTGTTAATCATTAAAGACGGCTGAGGTCAAATTCGGTACCAGGATGGAAACTGCCAATTTTAAAGCAAAGGACATCTGAGTGAGAGATTTAACAATGGTTTGAAAACTTAAAGTACAGTCAACTCTCGCCTTGCGGACACCTCGCTATAACGGACACCCCGATAATACGGACAGCAGATAAATTCCGGCAAAAATAAATTACAGACATTTGACTGAAATAAAATCCCGCTATTACGGACTCTCACTACAGAGGACACTAACTTAAGGTCCCTACAGTGTCCGCTATAAAGGGAGTTGACTGTATGTATATAACGTATGTAAATAAGCAGATGTACATAAAGAGATACAAACAAACCCAGAGCATTACTTCACACATAACTGTAGTGTCAAGGGAATTACCTCTTCATTTTGCATTTCATAACTGGTAGTAGGTGTTGTTAGGTGTTATAAAGATTTAGATAGTATTTATTTAAAAAGTGAGAAATTATTCACTAAAGGTTGTTAGTTGTGTAATTGTAACCAGCGCACCCACTACTTTACATTGGCGATGAGGATGATTTTCAGTTGAGACATTTGGATGGTTTTTAATTGGGACAAATTCAAAGATGCCTTGAAGGCGGCGCGGTGAATGCAAGCAACAAAGTGGGATCTGGCAGTGTTGATGCGATGTTGCTTTCGGTGGACGTTGGGTCATTGACGGCGTTCGACCCAAAAGGCGATCTGAATGGTATCAGCCAACGATGGAAGCGATGGAAACGATCTTTTGCATCGTATCTGACAGGAAAAGGGGTTACAGATGACAAGCAGAAGAGAGCTCTTCTCTTACACGCTGCGGGAGTCGATGCGCAAATCTATTTTACAATGGTCAGCGAAGAAGAGATTTTCTCTTTCAACACCACGATGAAGGCACTTGATGACTATTTTGTTTCAAAGTCAACTGTACCATTT